TAATTATTTTATATGTTTTAATAGTGACTCAATTAATTGCATCAAATAATTGTGTCAAATTGCATCAAGGATCTACCTATTTCTACCACATATATAATGGTAATCATATCAGCACCTGTATTTTGTGCAAAAAGAACTGGATACAATAAAACAAGTAATTTACAAAATATGAAAAGAAAAACAATATCATACAATAAGATAATAAAAATAGATAATAAATAAAACAAAATGACATAGTAAAAATCAAATATATCAGAAATCAATTCAATTATGAACTATACAACAAATAATTAGTTAAATTGAAATACATTATATAATTTTGGAATTTTTTTAAATATGCATTGATAAAGCTTTGACAAATTAGTTAAAGATACTGTATATCAATAATTTTTGGCAATAATCTGAATCATACATGTTTCTGTATTACCATAAAAAAATTTGATCAACAATATGTTTTTAAATTAAATACAATTCCCAATTATTTACTATATGTTACTTAATAATTCTACCACAATATGGTTTTTTAAGAATGTTTGGATTCAATTCCATCACATGTATAAGCTGTATAATAATGACAATCTTTAGTAAGTATAGGAAATAAATAGATATTAGATTTGTAATTTACAGATTTATGTATAATTAATATAATATTCAATAAACAAGGTATAAATCAATTGTTAAAAACCCCCTATTTTCTAAACATATTACTAATATCAATTATAACACTAACTCAAAATCTTATTCTTATTTGAGAAAAAGATAAACTTACAATAAAAACTTTAGCCACTTTATTCTTTAATTACTATTACCTATTTTGATACTTTTGGAATTTTCATATCACTGTCGATTAACACTTTAATGCAATCAATATAATTTACTGAATTAAATAAGCTATTTCTTATACAAATCTTTTAGACCTAACTTTAAGCCATTTTACTCTTCACAAGTCTATATTTTTTAACCAATTCAAGTTGTTAAGATGCCATCGTGGCAAACTCATCGTTGGAAGAAATTTACACCATACTAGTGCAAACATTTATTCATCAAAATGATCTTGACAAAGCAAAAAAATTTTACGGAAAATTGTTTACCGTCAAATTTTGAGCTAGTTCAAATGATGGTAGATGCTTGCTTGAATCGGAATGAGATGACCACGGCAAGACTGTTGTTAAAACGCACGCGCACTTCAAATCTCGGATGAATTTATGGACAAGTACCGTAATTGAATATTGTGCAAGGCAAAAAAAAATTAAGTACCTCTTCATCTTCAATCTTCCAAATGCACATGTGTTTTAATATTCTTAACGCTTTTTAAAAATCGTTTTTCCCGATTATTAGTTTCATAATGTTTCCATACATTCCACTTACTCTCATACTCATCCCCCGTTCCCACATTCCATCATATATTTCTGTCGCCACACCAACATTTTCGTGTTTCAACGCGTATTCTATCATCATATTCCAAGTATAATAATCTGGTATCACATATTTTGTTGACGTTTACTTGAAAATATTTTGCGTTCATCTGATCTCAAAACACATTTTCCGCATTCTCTATACCTTGTGTCTTTATTACATTTCTCAGTATAATGTGAAATCTCGAGTGTTGGTTGAATTGTGAGCTCGCTCATTGCCGTATAGATTTTCTTGGCCATCTCGAAATTTCCGGCTTTCGCGAAAGTCTCGATTATAATGTGAAAAGTATCGGCATTAGGGAACAGATTCGAATTTCGAATAACATTGAATATGCTCAATAC